GGGCCTGGGCTTCGGCTGGGCCAGCAGCAGAACGGCGCCGTTGCACGGCAGTGGCAGGTCCGGCGTTGTCCGACCGCTTCTTGAAGGTTTGGGTGCTGACCGCCCAAATCTTCGTGGCCTTTGTGAGTGGGCCAACGGTGGTGGTCACCTTGAACCGTTCAAGGATGTCCATCACCACGAACGGGTACGGGAGGAGGTGGTCGTGGTCGGTGGACGCGGCAATCGTCATGTTGATCATGACAAACTTTGCCCAATTGATTGGGGCCGAGTGCATGATCGCATGGATGAGCTTGAGATCTTCACCGGACATGATGGTGTGGCCGTGCTTCTTGGGTTTGATGATCCGGGAGACGATGTAGAGAAGAAGACGACCATCGGGGTTAGCGGAGTGGATGGTGGGGCGGCCCGAGGCATGGCGGATGAGCTCGGTGATGCCAAGCTCGTTGAGGATAAGGCCCTCGTTGTTGAGCACCCAGTCCTCTCCGCCATAGTGAGACACGTCGTCGCCTTGGAAGGGGAGGCCGGCGATGCGCCCAAGCTGCTCCACGGTGAGCTCAATCGGCGTGCTCTTGACAAGCGAGTAGAGCACGTCGTCCTCACGCCGGGGGTTGGAGTAGAAGGCCCGGATCAGTGCCGGGTTGATCTCCTTGTGCGCCCGGGAGACGAACGGCCAAAGGCCGGCTTGATGAAGCTGTGCGTCAAGTTCGTCGTAGCCCTGCAGTTCCGGGTAGCGCTCCGGGATGATCCGTGGGGGAGCCACAACCCGTTTAGAGAAAAAGGTGAGGAAACGGGTGCGCTCCTCCTCGAAATCAAACCAAAGGTATGACCCGTCACCATAGTAGAGGCGCTCCTCGGAGGAAGATGTAGGCGCCCGGGATTTGGACTTTGATTTCCCGGAAGTGGCGGCCCTGCTCTTGTCCTTGCCCATGATGAATAGGAAGAAAAAAAATTGTAAGTAGAGTGAGATATGCAAGAGGAATGGAGAGAATTTGTGTTTGTGTGTGTCAAAAAGAGGAGTGGAGGCTCCCATTTATAGAAAAGGAGGCCTCCAACGTCCAAAATTTCAAAAAATATGACTGTTGGAGCAATAAATGAAGGTGCAACAGATATTTTTTTGAAAATTTTGACCAGAACAGCGATGTTCTACAGGCGACATCGCTGTTGGGACAGCGCTGTTGTTCCTTGTACAACGCTGTTCTGCGTCAAGTTTTAAAAAACAGGGGTCAAAAGGACAGCGATGTTGAGTACCCCACAGCAATGTTCCAAAAGTTTCTGGAATTGTGTAAGGGTTTGAACCCATTTGAACAGCGCTGTTGGGTTTTTCTACATCGCTGTTTTGCGATAGAGAAAAATTTGTAAAAATGGACATCGATGTTGTAGGTAAGACATCGCTGTTTAAAGAGGTTCTGGTTTTGGTTGAAAACAAAAAGTTTGGGCAAGACAACGATGTTTAAAAGAGAACATCGATGTTGAAAAAGTTTCTGGAAAGTGAAGATGTAAGGGACTCCCTGGGACAGCGCTGTTGGCTTGATGGACAGCACTGTTGGAAAACTTTCTGGTTGGCGGTGTTTCCCTCAACAGCACTGTTGTGTCTCCTGGACAGCGCTGTTTGCCTGGTTCCCCCTGATTTCATGAACGGGGTACCTGCAAAAAAGAAAAAGTTCTCCGACGCTCAAGTTAGTAATTGTTTAATAAATTTAGATGCACAACTTAGATCATCATGGAGTCAAGGATTCCGAGTTCACTTCGAATGCGGAAGAATGACTCTTTCTCTAAAGGTGTTGTGAAAATGTCGGCTAATTGGTTGTGTGTTTCAACAAACTCAATTTCGACATCACCTTTGAGAACATGATCTCTAATGAAATGATGCCTAATGTCAATGTGTTTCGTCCTTGAGTGAAGAACGGGGTTCTTCGTCAAGCTTATGACGCTAGTATTATCACAACGAAGAGGAACGTGATTGATACTAAGGCCATAGTCCACGAGTTGTTGCTTCATCCAAAGGATTTGAGCACAACAACTATCGGCGGCTACATACTCCGCTTCGGTTGTGGATAACGCAACACTGACTTGTTTCTTGCTAAACCATGAGACTAAGGAACTACCAAGTAAGTGGCAAGTCCCACTCGTACTTTTACAGTCCAATTTGCAACCGGCAAAGTCCGAGTCGGAGTAGCCGACGAGATGACAAGAAGAGCCTTTTGGATACCACAGTCCAACGTTAACAGTGCCGACAAGGTACTTCATGATCCGTTTTACCGCGGTTAAGTGTGATTCCTTCGAACATGATTGATACCTCGCGCAAAGGCATACGCTAAACATGATATCCAGCCTACTAGCGGTAAGATAGAGAAGGGATCCGATCATACCTCGATACTTTTTGACCTCTACTTCCTTACCTTTCTCGTCTTTGTCAAGATGGTCAGACGTGCTCATCGGGGTTGCCATGGCTTTGGCGTTGTCCATTTCAAACCGTTTTAGGAGCTCCTTGCAGTATTTAGCTTGGAAAATGAACGTTCCATCTTTCATTTGCTTAACTTGGAGTCCCAAAAAGAATGTGAGCTCGCCCATCATTGACATTTCAAATTCGCTAGTGATTAGCGTCGAGAATTCCTTGCACAAAGACTCGTTAGTAGCACCGAATATAATGTCGTCTACATAAACTTGAACCAAAAGGATGTTATTGTTTTTACTCTTGATAAAAAGTGTAGTGTCAACCTTTCCCCTTTGGAAACCACTATCCAAAAGAAATTTACTCAAACATTCGTACCAAGCACGTGGTGCTTGTTTAAGACCGTAGAGCGCTTTCTTGAGTTTGAAGACGTGATCGGGAAACTCAAAGTCCTCAAACCCTAGGGGCTAGTCAACATACACTTCCTATTGAATAAAACCATTGAGGAAGGCACTCTTAACATCCATTTGATAAAGGTTAAAATCCATAGACGAAGCAAAAGCAAGAAGTAAACGAATAGCTTCTAAACGTGCCACAGGTGCATAAGTTTCTTCAAAATCAATGCCTTCTTCTTGATTGTAGCCTTTAGCTACGAGCCTAGCTTTGTTTCTAGTGATTATTCCATTTTCATCAAGTTTGTTACGGAACACCCATTTTGTACCAATAATCGTTCGATCATCGGGCCTTGGCACCAATTCCCAAACGTCATTCCGTTTGAATTGGTTTAGCTCCTCTTGCATAGCCAAGGTCCAATGTTCATCGTTTATTGCTTCGGAAATGGTTGTAGGTTCAATTTGAGATACAAAAGCCATGTGTCCTACGGTGTCCCTAAGAGAGTTACGAGTACTTACCCCGCGGTTGATGCTGCCGATTACCTGGTCAAGTGGATGGTTCCTGTGCGTTCTCCAAGCGATGGGAAGCTCGGTTTCCTCTTGTTCCTGGGCTTCCTCTTGTTCTTCTTCGTCTGCTTGGTCTTCACTTTCGACCATCACTTGAGGTGTTTCCTCAGGTTGTGGTTGCGGGTTGGTGTATAATGGTGTGTCTTCTTCATCGTCTTCAAGGTGTACTCTCTCTAATGAATCTGCAAGATCATCACAAATAGCCTTTCTCGCCAAGCGAGTATTATCTTCGGAAAATACAATATGAGGGGACTCCTCAATAGTCAAAGTACGTTTATTAAATACTCTATAGGCCTTGCTGCGAAGAGAATA